GAAATTTTAAAAAGCAGAGTTTACATATTCACTCAAAAAGGCCCTTGAGGCTTCAAGCCTTATCCAGTAGAGCATTATGAAGAAAGTTGAGAGGTAGTGGCTGGTGGGCAGGTGTAGAGACATAGGGTTGAAAGTGATAAAAGCTGAGTTTTTTCTGGGTCACTTAGCCAGGAAAGGAGCCTGGGCGTAGACAGGCCTGGGCATGAAGCCGGCTCCCAGTTATGAACTCTGTGACCAGAGATACGAAAGAGCCTGAGTCAGGATCACACTCTTCATAAGTCAAAGCAAGGACCAGAACCGGGCTGTTTGCTTTTAATACCCCTTGTTTTTCAGAGCTCCCTGTAGTTTCCCACTTTTCTAATCAAACCCTTTTTAGAGAGAGAGGGGGAAGGACAAAGAAGACCTTACTCACAGCTTCCAGTGCATAAAGCAAATTCAGGTCCAGGGCCCTGGTCAAATTGGGGGTCGGGGCTTAGATGCCCTCCTGCTGGGGTCTCCCACCCCAGAGACACCCCTTGCAGGATCTGAGGGTCCTCTATGCACAATTTGAGTGCTCCATTGTGGCAGAAATTTTTTTTTTTTAATCCTCTTGTTTTTTTCTGACTTTTCTATGTCTGTCTATCTGTCATGGTTTCAAGTAACGATTTTTGTTGTTGCTTCCTCTTGGGTAACTTTGCTTGATGACACTACGGGAGAACTCTAACTGTGCTTTGGACTATACGCTTGGATTGAAGATGTGCCCATTTCTATTATTATCTGATTAATAACATGACAAACAAAGCTTTTCAAGTATTTAAGGCACTGACATAATGTTTAATTGGATTTTATCCACTTTATTTGCCATTCTAATATTATTTTTGGAATATTGTCAATTGTAATTATTTTCTGTGACGATTTTCTTGGGTTTGAACCAGTTGAATGAAATAACATGCTTGGCTTTTGTTCAGCAACCAAAACTATAATCTTTTATTCTGCAAATAAATCTCTATTTGCTGGCATCATCTTTAATAATATCAGCATTTCCCATGCATAAGTGTATTTTTAATTACTTTCATAGAGCAAGCAGATGGAGCATAGAATTTTTTGTTTTGTCAGTCTTAATAATTCATTGACTATTATCAGAGTCTTGGGAAACAAAATCATTAGTGGAGTCAGTTGTTTGAGAAAATATTTTTCACTTTTAAGGAGTTTACCAACTTTACAGAGACAGTCCAAGTATAATAGTTTCTTTAATTCCAACATTACTCTGCTAAGTGTTTGCCCTTTTCACCTCTGAAAGTAATGTGATTTCTGTAAGTATTCTTATCTATTGAGGCATTCTAAATTTATCTTTGCTGTCACTAAATATTCTGAGAGGGAAAGTTCATTCATAATCCATCTTTTAAAAATAATGCCTCTTTCTGAAATTAACATTAATTTTATAACTTTTCCATTTACTCACCATCTCAAAACAACTACCTTGTCTTATCAGTAACAATACAAAGTGATCGTCTTGTGGTTTTTTAGTTTCTGAAAAGATCTATGTGGCATTTCCATAAAAGCACTCTTCTGCCTTTACTTGGATTAGGACCAAACCCCACAGATACTGCTTTTGGAATTGATTCCTTTGAAACCTCCATAATTATTTCTTTCCTTTACATCTGTTCAGAACCATGTGCAGAGGAGAAAATTCCATCCTTGGACAGTTGAAAGCAGAGCGTAAGTAACTACTTTTTATCCCTTCATGGTTGTTTTGGTGACACATCAGTAATTATTAATGTTTTCGCAGTGTGATTATAGAACTCTATTCACAAAAGGTATCTTATGAAATGCTTAACAGAGGTAAATTACTTATTCCCATTAAATTGTCCAAACCAGTGTTCAAATGATGGCTTGAGATGCATAGGCCATAAAAAATAAGAGTATTTTCATAATTTATTTTTATTTATTTATAATTATTGTCTCGATAATGAGTGGGATTTGTAAGGCACTTCACAAGGACCCTACATGCATCTTCCACCATGATTCTTCCCCATAGTCCTGGCTGGTAAGCAGGACAGGTGTCATTTCTGCTTTAAAGACGAGGACATAAATGCTATGAGGTTAATAGGTATTTACCTGGCCTCCTATAAATGTAGAAGTCCCAGAGTCTAAATCTTTGAGGATATTACACTGGAGGTAAATAAATAAGAAAAAAAAATCACAGTAATACCTTTCACTTTTGTAAGTCTTTTTTATTTTTTTTATTTTCAAAGGCACTTTCTCAGATATCTTCTTAATTGATCCTTCTACAAAGTTCTTAACTATAATATATTGTGACTGTGTGTTTACTTATTTATATCTCTGTAAACTGACTCTAAGTTCATCACATAGTGGGTGCTCAATAATATTTTATACCCTGTATAATAGGTATGAAAGATTCCACAAAAAATAAGCCGGAGTCAGAACTCAAGCTTTCTGACATCGAGTTCCAGTTGGGTCCAGAATGTGAAAACTTTGAGGACCACATTAAAAAGAATAGCTTTTATCCAGAATAAGAAAAGATGAGATTGATGGAAACCTCTGACCCCTGAAATGAACTCATGAAAGAGAGTTTATATGAAGATTTACTTACTGTTGGTAAACAGAGTAGAGAGAGACTTGTGGCAGGTAGAGATAATGGTCCATTGGTAGTGGAAAGAAAGTTTATGTGTCAATAAGACTGTGAAGGAAGACTTGAAGAGATGTGGGAGCAGAAGAGTAAGGGAAATATCAGGTAATCATAAGAGTTTCAACTCAACTGACCAGGAGGTCTAGAAAAGTCAGGAGGAGCCATCACAAACATATGATGCCATGTGGTATGGGCTTCATATATGCTAATCACCTCAGTTGAGTTTTTTGAAGATTTTATATACTGGATATTGTATCACAGAATATGGGGAGAAAATGTTAGTCCTTCCTTATATGTATATTTTTCACTTAAAAATAAAGAATTAAGACATCAGTAAGAATAACATATTAAGAATCTCCAAAAATTCACTCCTACATAAAAGCAACAAAAACACTGACAAAAATTGTCAAAGTCATCTCTTTCAGAATTCTGGAAATTAACCAAAGGCTTGTTACAATCTGAGGAATGTTTGTTTATTCCAGAAAGACAGCAGAATCTTGGTAGAAGCATCAAGCTTTGTGGCGTTTTAATTTGCCACCTACCCATCCCTCTGTCCTCAGTTCCACAGTAGACTTAAAAACCAGCCTAGCACTTTGAAAACCAGCAGCCTACCAAACACTGGAAGGAGCCAAATGGGTCTGAAGCTCCCATTCCCTGAGAATTCTGAGAATTGTCATAATTTGACCTGTCTGACAGTTTGAATACTCATTAAAACAGCTAGTTTAACTATGTACAAAGAACTAAAGGAAATGATATCTAAAGAGGAGCTCAGTATCAGATTGTAGCAGGCAGAAGAATTAACAGACTTTAACAGAGGTCCATTGAGAGTATCCAGTCTGAGGCACAGAAAGAAAAAGAATGGAGAAAAATGAACAAAGCCTCAGAGACCTATAAAACATCATCAAGCCCACTGACATACACATAATGGGAGTGCCAGAAGAAGAGGAAAGAGGAAAAAAATGCGGATAGAATATTTAAAGAAATAGCAACTGAAATCTTCCCAAATTTGATGAAAAACACAAATCTACACATCCAAGAAGCTCAGCAAAATCCAGTTAAGATGAATTTAAAGAGATTCACACCAACACGCATCATAATCAAACTAGCAAAATACAAAGACAAAAAGAAAATCTTGAAAGCAGCAATGGAGAAGCAAATTATCCACTATAAGAGATCCTCAATAAGATTAATAGCCAGTTTCTCATCAGAAACCATTCTGTCATTTTCCCCTTGATTATGTTCATTGGAGTAAAAAACTTTTATGTTTGATGAAATCCAATTTATCTATTTTTATGTTTTTGTTTTTGGCGTAAAATCCAAGAAACCATTGCTTAATCTAATATGGGAGAAAATGTTGCAAGCCATATATCTGATTGGTATCCTGAATATATAAAGAACAATCTAATTTTTAAAATGGGCTAAGGATATAAGTAGCCATATATAGATGGCCAATAAGCCATGAAAAAGATGCTCAACATCGTTAGTCATTACGGAGATTCAAACAGAAACCACAAAATACAACTTCACACCCACCAGGATGGCTGTAATTTAAAAAATAAAAGCAGTATTGACAAGAATGTAGTGATATTAGAACCCTCACACACTGCTCCTGGGAATTCACAATGGTGAGGGCTCTTTGGAAAGCAATGTGGACTTTCCTTAGAAATTAAACAGAGTTCCCGTGTAGCCCAGCAATTCTGCTCCATAGCATATACCCAAGAGAGTGGAAAACATATGTCCATACAAAAACTTGCACGCGAATGTTCATAGCAGCATTATTTATGATAGCCGAAAGGTAGAAACAACCCAAATATCCATTAACTGATGAATGTAGAAACAAAATGTATATATCTTTACAATGGAATACTATTCAGTTATAAAAAGAAATGTATTGATACATGCTACAACATGGATGAACCTTGAAAATTTTATGCTAAGTGAAAAGAAGCCAGACACAAAAGGCCACATGTTGTATAATTTTATTTTTATGAAAATGTTTAACAGGCAAACTCCTAGAGACAGGAAAGTAGATTAGTGATTGCCAGGTCCGGGGAGAGAGTGGAATGGAGAGTGACTGCTAGTGAGTATGATGTTTCTTTTGGGGGTAATAAAGGGTCTCAAAATTAGATAGTGGTGATGATTATACAGCTTTGTGGATGTAGTTTTAAGAAACTGAATTGTCCACTTTAAAGGAGTGAATTTTATGTTATATGGGTTTTTAAATGATTTGGAAGCTTTAAAAGAATGAATTAAGCTTTTAGTACGTGTATATAATTGTGCGTGTGTGTACGTGTATGTGCATTGGGTGTTCAACAATTTTTTTTACTGTTTTTAGTCTGCTCAGTGTGAATACTTTAGAAACAACTTTCAACGTAAGACATGTACATTGCCAGTAAATACTTTCAAAAGTTGTATCTGATTGCATCCAGGACAGAGAAGATTTACCAGAGCATAATCCCTATCTTGATTTTCTAATGGCTTAAAATGAAGTTGATAGTGAATGAATAAGTTTCTAAAAGATATATCAATAAAACAAAATCAGGAAAGCCATTCAGTGCTGACTGTGGCTAGTAAAATGCAAAGGTGAGGTTTTAGGAGAATAAAAAGTCAGAACAAACCTATTTAGCTTCTCAACCATAAAAATGGCCTGAGCTTATTATAAAGCATTTCCTTTAGCTCTGGACTCTTTTCCTGCCTTTGCCTATTCAGGGGAAAAATTGGATTTTAACACAAGAAGTAATTTCAATGTTAAGCCCTTTTATGAAAAGATTTCCAAGTACCCTGGGAACAAGTCAAAATCAGGCATGTCAGTGGGGAAAATGTTCGTACTCTAAACAAGGAACCACGGATTAATTACATAATGCCCCTTTTTGAGGAACAACGTTCTGTTATTGGTTTTGTTTTTGTCAATGCGTAGTGGGTTTTAAATACATGCACTAGCTAATCTCTAATTGGATAAAGAACTATGGTTCTCTACTGTTTCAATTCTTTAGAAATAACAAAATTGCTTCTGTGAATGTAACAGTTCCTGAAGAGAAAACCAGCAGCTATTAGTGTATAATTATCTGATGTTCCAATCTGCATGGATTTAGTGTTTAATTTAAGGTTTTTCTTTATCATTTTTATAATTTTCGTGAATTATGACATTTTAGTTGCTAGTGTAGTATAATTTAACAGAAAGTCTAGGGGTATTCAATCAGGATTAGAAATGTACGTATATGAAGTGCTACAAGCTTTTAAGTAACAAAAGCCTGTAACAACTCTTGAAGCCCTTTCACAAAATTTCCTTTTAAACATCAGGAGTTTAATATATTGAATTTCTCATCTTTTGAGGTATATATGTACCAGTCTTCATAACAGACATGTCCTAGGGGCATATATAAACCTCTAGATTCTCAAATACCTCCATGACTTGTAATTTGGAAAACCTCTCTGATACTTTTCTAGCTATTGCTTCATATCAGTGCTTGCACATGCTCATGGATTTCTTGTATTTTCTTCAAAAGGCACTTGTTTCCTCAGTATATCCTCACACTACAAGTTAGCATCACGGACTTGATATTATTACTTGTTGAGCCAGTTTTCTTCACCAAATAAAGTACTGTCTGAAATAGTTTCTCAACTTACTTTTTCTTCTTTTCACATAGATTGCATGTTGGAATTAGTCACTTCATAAATGAGCACCCCCACTGCATGTGACAGGCCACACTCGAAATCATCTAAAATGTCCACTTTCTGGCAAGGAACCCTTATCTTTCTTTTGGGTCCTATTATTGGTACTAACCCTTAGCTTTCTTCTTAAAGGCATTTTTCACAAAGAAATAAAGTTTTTACCACTTCATAAGAGTTATTTCTGAATGGGAAGTAGGTTGGACTGTGAGGCTCTTCAGCTAACTGGTAGGTTGCTGATACTCTTTCTCCAGCCTTCCTGTGGAATGGCACATATCTATGCTTTAGAAAATTACAAATTATTACATGTCTTAAACCTTCAGGCTGCTAATACCTAGTCAGTATCACTAATTTTTAAAAAACATTTAAAAATAATTTTAGACTTATAGAGAGTTTCCAG